AATAATAACTAAAATGTTTTTTTAAAAGTCTCTCTCTGACTTCCTTTAATCAGGGACTGTAGCAGCTAAAACTATAGCTCCCTGGTGTATGGAGATTCCCTGATCTCAATCCTCTGGGGTAGCTCAATTTAGACACCTATTTCAAACCTCTGCCTCCCAAGGCTCAGGAATCATTATAGAAGAAGTAGCAGAAAGAGTGTAAGAGCCAGAGGTGGTGGAAGACCACCAGGAAACAGAGTTTTCCAGACAGCTCGCAGGAATGGTGGCAATGTGCACAAGTCCCATGCAAATTCAAATGGGACAAAATCCCAGCATAGACATGGGAAAGAGAGTAATAAATCCTAACCCAACCTAATGAAATTTTGGTGGTTGATGGCTACTCGGTGGGGGAAAGAGTCTCTTACAGATATGGGACTCTTGCTAAGTTAACTAGACTCCAGTGGATAGACCCATACTAAAGGATATTTGGAGACATAAATCAGAATCTATAGACTGATATATATAATACATATATTTAATAGAATACATTAAATTGGGCAGGGGCCAGTAAGGGGAGGTGTGAGGAGAGGAGAGTATCTAAATACCATCAAATTATATTGTATGAAAATTGAAAGAATTTTTTTCAAAGATAAGCCAGATAAAAGCTGGAAAGTCCTACTCTCAGGAGAAGCCCATAGCCCTCACAAGACTCAAACCCAGTGCAAGTTGTGGTGAGACAGTAACCCCTTCAGTTGGTAGGTCATTGGTGAAAGACATCTCATTTTATCATGCTGTATGAATTGAAAGGCAGTGGCCAGTTGCCATCTTGAAAGAGAATCTACTGCTCAAAATTAATGGGCTATGGAGATGGAGATAGCTCAATGGTTAAAGTGCTTGCAGCATAAGCCTGAGGACCTGAGTCCAGATCCCAGCATCCACATAAAAGTCAAGCATGGCCATGATTATCTGTAACCACAATGCAGGGGGGCAGAGACAGATGGTGTTGGAGATCAATGACCAGCTAACCTGGCCAAAATGATGAGATCTAGGCTTAGTGAAAAATCCCTGTCTTCTCAAAAATTTGATGGAGAATGGTTGAGGAAGACATCCCAATGTTAATCTCTGGTCTGCACAGGCATATGCATGGGGGCACACTACCACACACATGCAAACACATACCCATACAACACAGAGAGCGAGAGCAGGAGCGAGGGAGGGAGGAAGGAAGGGAGGGAGGGAGGGAGGAAGGGAGGGAGGGAGAGAGAGATTTGAGCAAGTTTCTCAATCTGTGCCCAGTTTCCAACTCCATAACATGGCGATTGGAGTCTGGTCTTAATTCACAGAGCTGTTATAAAGGTTAGAGGAATTTTATATAGAAAATGTTTAAAACAGTGCTTGGTACATTTCGCTGTGTACATGTCAGCCACCATCCTCGCCATCACTACTGCTCTCACCACCCTCATTTCTCTCCCCTCATCTCTCCCCTCTTTCCTCTACTCATTCTTCCATCTGCCCTTCAGTAACAATGGCTTTCTATCTTTCTGATGACCTTGGCCCTCACCTCTACACCTTCACCCCTTCACCCACGCCTCCTGTCTGCTGAATTCTCTTGCTCCTTCTCTGTCTGCTCCTCTATCCCTGTCTCTCTGGGGAAGTAGCCACCCATTCTCACATGGCTAACTCCTCCAGACATTGTCTCAGTGGCACTTCCTCTGGAAAGCCATCTCCTGCCTCCTTACACCTTCTCTGCATCCCAACATTATGACCTTGTCTTCTCCTTGTATTTAAACTGTGTGTTTACCTGTCGTTGTTTTCCACTGAGCAGAAAGTTGCTTGACAATAGCTATCACTCTTCTCTTAAATTGGAAAGGGAAATAACTAAAATGGATATTTTTTTCCTTTGATCTTTTTGAGACAGGGTCTCCCTGTAGCCCCATCTGTCCTGGAACTCACTATGTAGATCAGGCTGGCCTTGAACTCATAGAGATCCGCCTGCCTCTGTCTTGTGAGTGCTGGGACTAAAGGCATGTGCCACCACGCCTGACTTAAAATGGATATTTTTAAGAATCATTTTTATCACATTTAGCTATGCTTCATGAGGCACACATTAAAGGACAATAACCATCCAGTGAGCATTCTTGTTGGAATCCTTCACCCCAAATGCTCTTAGCTGAGTATCTGATGAGGAAATAATGTCAAGATACTAAAAACAACATCCATAAGAGATGTCCAAAAATGGAATGGACTAGAGAAAGGGAGAGTTCCCTGTTACTTGAAGCATGCAAGCAGAAGCAGTGGTCAGATGCAAGAACAAAATGGAGATATGGAGGAAGAAGTGGGCTCATTTCACCTGGAAAAGTAATAATGTCTTCCAATATTAGGAAAATCATACAGAAAGATACTGTTCTCTGAGTCTTCAGAGGACCAAACTGGAATGAAGAAGTGGGAAATTCCAGGAAGACTCCACACAAAGTGCTGTGTTTTATCACTGGAGCTGACTCCAATTGGGTTGGACTTCCTTGAATATCTTAAAGTTCTTCCTCAATATCAAGCTATTATCACACAGAGCTTAGATGATCATTTGCCTGGAGTAATGCAGTGAGACTGTACTGTTCACTGGCTCACACAGTTACTCACTTTCCTCTCTGGTTATCATGTTGCAGGCCAGGGACTCACGTTCTCATGAGTCCAAGAAACAGTCGCTATTCACTTCCTTCTCACATCAAACATCAAAAATTATCACAGCTGAGTAAAGATTAAATGGTCAACTTTAAACTATGACCATACTTCAGGAAAACATGGAAAATTTGTTAGATGAATTGGAGATAGGAAAATATAATAGAAAAGTCAAAAACTGAAAAAGGAAAATGGTTACTGTTTCTACAAAAAACAAGATTCTCAAAGAAAAGAGATAGCATGAATGATATAAAATATGATGTACAACAATATAAAACTGTTTTAAGAGACAATACTAATATTTTTAAACATGCAGAGGAAATTCTGAAAGAATGAACTAAACAAAAATTAAGCCAAATGAGGGAGCAGATATTTTATATAAAAAGAAATTCAAATAACCAATGAATATAGAAGGTGCTTATCTTCATAACTGAAAAATACAATTGTTTATTCATCAAGATGGAAAAGTCAAAGGCTGAGATATGTGCAAGTTATATACTAGTGTGAAGAAGTCGAAAGCCATTTATTATTTGTAGGAGTATAAATTATGGCTGGTTGTGGCTGAGGATACCTTTGATCTCAGCACTCAAAAGGCAGAGGCAGACAGATCACTATGAGATTGTGGCCAGCCTCATCTATATAGTGAGTTCCAGACCTGCTGGGGCTACAGGGAGACCCTGTCTCAAAAGTACCAAAATTTAAAAAAACTAATGTCCTATTTTCAGAGGTAATTTGACAATGACTATCAAAATTACCTTTACTCAACAAGTTAGTTTTCAGTGATATTTATTACAGCATTATTTATAATAGCAAAATGTTAAAGAACCAATGTATCCACTGACTACGAACTTTACAATTAATGCAGGACTGGAGAGATGGCTCAGCGGTTGAGAGCACTGGCTGCTCTTGCAGAGGACCCGGGTTCAATTCCCAGCACCCACATGGCAGCTAACAATTGTCTGAACTCCAGTTCCAGGGGATCCAACATCCTCTTCTGACCCCCATGAGCATTGCACAACATGGTACACTTACATACGTGCAGGAATACACCCATGCACATAAAATAAAAATAATAAGTAAATTTTTTTTTAAAAAAAGAAAAGTTAAATGCTTTACATTGAATACTAGGACACTCCATAGCACTAAGATGAATGAGATCAGTATGTATATGTAACATGTCAATTAAAAAGTTAAGTTCAACAGACTAGAAAACCAGGGAAGAGGCAAGGAAAACTATAGAGGTCAGGGAAGAGACCTTAACAGAAGTGTTATGAGGAGACTTGGATGTGCAGTTGAAGATTGCTGATGAGCCAAGCCTGCCAGGGAAGCAAAGTGGTAACCACGTCATACATACTACTCAGAATCTTTGTTAAAGAGGATGGCCAAAAGACAAAAAAAGAGAATGTATGGTACGCATTGTCTGTGCACCAAAGGAAGTCGAGTTAGGCTACATCTGCAAAAATCTGTGTCAATAAGAAAACTGTACTTGATGTGTGTTTACTTCCAGCAGAAAAATATTGTAGGGATGTTTCTCATTCTTTGGGCACTGCCTGTTGTCCCTCATCTCAGTGATGACATCCTGGTGACTTATTGACTGAATTATTTCAAGAAAGATTTTAACTTTTGCTTCTCATCGAATCTGACTTAATGATATTTTCCCCCCTGGCAGAGTTCAGGGCTTGTTTTTTAGATGCTCTGTTTCTCTTTTAGTATGGGCTCCAAAATGGGAGTTAGCAACAGCGAAATAAACTCCAGGCACTCTTTATTTCATTTTGTCAGGATTCATTATGGAATTGTGCATGAGAAATGGGGCAGTCAGGTTTATTTTGGAACAGAGCTCAAGGCTGTCTCACCAAGCTCTGTATGACAGGAGGCGGCCCTTACCCAAAGAAAGGGATCTGGCAGCCAGCCAACCCTGTTCCATACAGTCTCCCCAGAACCATGTCTGAATATATGAATCTGTCAGCATGTACTTGTCTGTAGGCATTGTGTGTGTCTCTCTCCATTACTGTGTTTTCCCTCTAATTTTGAAACCTGTATGCCCCAGAAATCTGGGAAGCCCATGGGAGCATTGCAGCACACACACTAAAATCCTCATGGACAAAGATAGACAAAATGTTTCCAACCCAGCAAAGCTGTGTCACAAACACCACAAGATGAGATTCCGTGTCCTTGCTTTCTAAAAGTTACCATGACTATGAAGTTTGCTAAACTGAGAAATACGTGAATAGGAAAGGAAGGATTGTCTTTGAGAGATAGGACATAATAGCTTGTTAATTTTTGTGAAGCCCTTTTCTTCTATCAGAGTACAAGTGCTTACACCTAAATTCTGATCTCTCTCCCAGGTGAATGGCATTGACCTCCGTGGAGCGTCTCACGAACAGGCAGCAGCAGCACTGAAGGGGGCTGGGCAGACGGTGACAATCATAGCACAATATCAACCTGAAGGTCAGTCCCAACCCATGCTTTGAATGTTCCAGTATGGCTCTTTGTGGGTGCATTACTGATAATCTGCATTAACTTTTGGTCGCCATCAGGATTTTTTTTAATTACTTATGATAGAAATTTAATGATTAATGTTTAAAAAAAAAAAAAAAACCACAAGACTGTTACTCCTTCATAATCATCCAGGAAAACATCGGGCCCACAATTAGGAAAGCTTGAACAGATGAACTCAAATAAACAGAAACCAGCTTCAACTTTATTTCATTTATATTCTTATCGAGTGTCTGTTTTTAGTTACCTCAGGATGCTGTAGAAGCAATCCAGATTTAGGAAGAAGTAAGGGGAGAGATTTCTTCTATAGAAATAAACCTTCTTAAGTAGACCATTTTCTCTCCTCAAGGCAATGACTTAATTCTCATTAATGGGACCATGTCTTTAGATGTCCCACTTGCTTCTCTGCAATACAGCTCTCTGAAATAAATCACTATAAAGCCCAGAGACTTGCTAAGACATCGTTGTCATCAGTTGGACTTGCTAACTGAAAGTTGATGGGGTATCCTAAATTAGATTAGCTATACCCTGCTCTTTATCTTGTTTAAGCATCTGTTTCTCTGATCAGAATGAGACTCAGTGATCCAACTGGGGGTCTTATGTGGCTGATTTCTTAGTAAATACCTGTGTGTGTGTGTGTGTGTGTGTGTGTGTGTGTGTGTGTGGTGATGTATAATTGCTCCTTTGCTAATAAAACATATTTAAGGACAACACTGTGAGTTAGTTTGTGCCATGAAAAATAGGAGGAACAGCCTCCATCTTCAAGAAGTGTAAGTTCATTGCTTTGGGGCCACATGGTTAACAAAGAGGGGTATTAAGCAGTTGAGAATGAGGTTACCAGGTGCTGTGAAGGAAGAGCTCTCTGAGTTGGGTATAAAGAGCTCCTTTGTCCTTTTTAAATGATCCTTTGTTAACTTCATTAGTTGTGTGCTATTTGGAAGGTTTAAGTCTGTGTTTTTCCTATGGCAGCTTAGGTTTTACCATTAATGGTGGCCAGCATGTTCTGCATAAGAATAAAGAAAGTAATTTCTTCCATGTGTATCTTGGCATCTTGCCTTTGTGCCTCAATTTAGAATTAGAATTTGTAAGTAAGTAAAACAAAATCTTATAAATTCTTGTAATTTTTTCCTATTAGCCTATGTCATGAATGAACAGAGTTAGTAGAGAGGGTGCATGCTTTTTCTAGATACATTAAGGTAATCTTTTGCTTTTAACAGGAGTGTTTCCAAAAGTATCTATTGTAAAACAGAAAATGAAGCCATCTGAGTTAGAATGATTTTTGTCACAAAGAGTAAGGACTGTTTCATGAGTGTCTTCCTTTCTTCAGAGCTATTTTCTTTCATTCTAGAACTCTATGTCCTTCACCATCCCTGCAATCAGGCATAAAGTCCATGGTTGTTTCCCAGGTTCTAAAAACTTCATCTCATATAATTCTACAGACTGATAAGATGGTTAGAACCATGATTATACTGCCCGAAAGCTCTTGCCTAGTGAGCAAGTATTTAAATAACCTTGAAATGAATAATTTCAAGCTCTGAAGGTTACGCTAAAAACGATCCTGTGCTGGTTCTAGATCTTTATATGTGTTGGAATTTCCCTACAGCTCGGTTCCCTTTGAGCATGATGAATCAACCAGATAATATACTGCTCTTTATCACAATGCCTGTTAAAAGCATGTTTTATAAACCATATAACTTCACTTTTAAAATCCTTCTAACAAAACCTGTAGCTAACAAGCATCTTTCAAAATGCTAGCATATACAGATTATGTTCACAGAATGACTTCCCTATTTTAACCATATAGCTGTGATCTAACTTGTCATAGCTTTATATCAATTGGAAATGTAGCAACAACAACATGAAGCAATCAATTTTATTCTGCTTTTTGCTAACTTCGTGTGTAACCAAGCCTTAGTTGAACTATTGCTTGAAAGGAAAATGGACTATATTTTTTTGTTTTGATTATGTAGAGACATTTAAATTGTACAGCAGCCTAAGGAAATAGCCTACAATTTACTTTAAAATTAACCAGTGAATTGAAGGGTATTTTATGAGATTGCATCACAAAATTCTTACCAGGTCACTGTCTTTTCTACCAATATGTTAACTTTATGATAGTGCTAAGAGATTTTATTACAACTCCTTTGACATGGTCAAGAACTAGACTTCTAGGCTGGGGTGATGGTTCACTGAGTAAAGGACTTGCTACCCAAGTATGAGGACTTGAGTTTGAATCCATGTAAAGCCTGGCATGGTAGCTAGCACCCATCTGGAATCCCACTGCTCCTGTAGCAAGATGGGAGATGGAGACAGCAGAATCCCAGAGGGTCACAGGCCAGCTAGTGTGGTGTGTACAGCAGCAGTCAACAAAGCCCTCTCTCAAACAAGATGGAAGATGAGGACCAATGCCTGAGGTTGTCCTCTGACCTCCATATGGATAATATGGCATGCACATGGTCATGTTCACAGAGAGAGAGAGAGAGAGAGAGAGAGAGAGAGAGAGAGAGAATTTTTTAAGAACCAAGCTTCTAGTACATATGTTTTCAGTCACTTCCAAGGGCTTAATGGGAAACCCTCTAAATACTTCACTCAGCATTCCTTGATATTAAAAAAAAAAAAAAAATTGTCGTCTGTCACCAGAATATTGCATGCTATTTATCTCTAAGGAATTTTCCAACTTTCTGAAGTGAAATTACTTTAATACACTTAATAGAAATCAGTACTCAGTGACACATGAGCAACTTCTCTCAGAATGGCACTGTCTCTCAGAACGATAGCATATCAAAGAAAAAATGAGCCTGCAGGGCCGATAATAGTGCTACAGTATATTGTAGAAGTGTGTGAATGGAACTAGATCTTGAAAATTGGGTGAACTGTGTGTTTTAGAGATGAAGGAGAAAGAATAACTTGTTAAACTGTGAGATTGCTGGCTCCATGCAAGCGAACACATCTGTGTTTTGTTCACTGACAGATCTCTCTGATATTGTAACAGCTATTTCCTACAGACTTGCTGAGCTAACAGATGAACGATTTACCATATACCCCAGTACTTGTGTTTCCATACAGATAATTGGTGACTGAGGAATTCTTCATTTTTATCCACTTGTGCTTTTCAATTTTTGTTTCAAAGACAGAAAAGAATTACTGAAGAAATGTGTGCCACACAATATTACCAACCATTTTTATAGTACTTAGCAGGTTTTTTTCCAAATAATTGTAATTTATAATTATTGGACTGCAACAATAAATCTCTTCTTTGGCAAGTTTCATAGTGCAATGTGAGGTTATGATATACATAGCTCTGTTTCAAATGCACTTAGTCCCTTAGTCCGTGCCATTCTACCTACCATCACTCTCATTCAGCATGCAGTTCAAAGTCATAGAGTTAAAGGCAGTTCGAAAATCTTGTCTAAGTACTGTGTCTCACCATCAATGTGACTGCAATTTGTCTTCACTGTCCTTTAAAATTCAATTGTGTCATATGCTTACTTTGCAATTAGCATGTGTTGCACTAATAATAAGAAAAAAATAAGAAAAGTGATCAGGTTTTTTTCTCTTTTCTTATTTGTTTGTTTTGTTTGTTTGTTTGTTTATTTTTGTAATAGATGTGATCCCTTAGGAACAACCCCATTAAGCACTATGGACAGTTAATTCTCATAAAAAACATTAATTGTCTCTATTTCATTGGTGAAGTTACTACATCACTCCACACTGGGAGACACAATACCCTACACACACACATGCACACACACACGCACGCACTCATGCACACACCTGACAGCCCTTCTCTTTCTTTGCCTCTCTCAGTGGTTTGACATTGCTTTCCAAATCATCTTCCTAAAAGCATGACCTCCAGGCCCCTGCACACAAAAGCCATGCCCTTCACCATATGACCCCATCCCAGCCAACTGCCCTTCCCTGTCACTGTTCATCCCACTGTCACCGTTAGCATCATCCTTTTCACTGCCCCCCATGCACAGAACTGTCCACCTGTTTCTAAGTTTGGTCCTGAAGTCCCCTGTTTCTTTGCCTTCACTTTGTGGGCTCCCTTCTTTGAAATTCCATGTTCTCTTCTCCTGTAGGTTCTTACTTACACTGAGGACCCTCATTTGAGTTTCACTGTGAGCCTATCTTTAATCTGCTCAATCACATTAGTTCTAGCTCTTAATTCTCCATCCGTCTTCAGATACCTGTGTCCTTTAGCATAGTTTGTACCTTTCTCCACTCAAGTGCTAAGGAGGGAGTTTTATCCCCCCTCGCTTTATCTCCTGTGTTAAATTACTCAATACAAATTTGAATAGACTTTATCAGTGACTTATTGAATGATGTTTTTTATAGAAGCATAATATATTTCCAGTGGGTTTCCAAATAAATATTAATAGTAGGTACTTGAGAAATGTATGCTCAGGGCTGGAGAGATGGCTTCATGATTAACAGCATTGCTACTCTTGCATAGGACCTGGGTTTGATTCACAGTATCCAAATGGTGGCTCACAACTGTCCTAGTTAGCTTTCTGTTGCTGTGATAAAACACTAACAAAAACCAACGTGGGAGAGGGGTGGGATGATCTATTTAGCTTACAGTTCACAGTCCATAATCAAGAGAAATTAAGGCAGGGACCTGGAGGCAGTCACTGAAGCAGAAACCATGGAGGAATGCTGCTTACTGTCTTGCTTTTCTTGCCTGTGCTCAGTCTGCCTTCCTATATAAGCCAGGACCATCTACCCAGGGATGGCACCACCTCACAGTAGACTGGTCCCTCCCAATCACTCAACAATCAAGAAAATGCCTCATAGGCATACCCATAGGCAAATCCAATAGAGAAAGTTCCCCAATAGAGATTCCCTCTTTCCAAGTGTGTCAGGCTGACAACTGAAGCTATCAGGCACAACTACCTATTAACTCCAGCTCCAGGGGATCTGACATCTGGGGGCACCAGGAGGACACCAGG